TCAATAATAATATTTTCTTTTTATTTCATGTTAAATGGTATAATTTTTTTTATCAATTATAAATTTAAATTAAATTATATTCTTTTTTATATTTTTATTATATTATGATTGATATATATATATATATATATATTTCTATAATTTAATTAATATATATGGTTCTCTAACAACATTATAATCAAACTAATTATTTATAATCACATATTTATCATTAAGTGGACATAAAAATTATAGAATGAATATAAATAATAATAATAATAATTTATGATTATTATTATTATTATTATTATTTATGAAATTGGTTACCCTCAACCAACCCAATTTTAATTATATTAATACCCAAAAAAGATATTGTCGCAATCCATTAATTAAAGCCTCCATATGACTTACATATAATAATACATGTACCAAATATTATATCCATTTTTTAATATTCTAATTATGATTATAATTACAAATTAATATATAAGAGGTTATTATATACACATACACTGTATCTAGCTAATATAGATAGATGTATAATAGGATATCGTTGTATAATCATGTGATAAAATAGGTAATGTGTGATTATTTAATAATAATAGGATGCAAGTATAACTTAAAATACAAATGGACCCAAAACATTTTAATAAAAAGGGCAGTTCGAATTTAACTATTTTCTTAAGAAATATGAGTTTATATATACATGAGTGTATCTACATGTATGTATGTATGTATGTATGTACAGGGTATGCAGCAGTCCCCAATCATGTGTGAGATACATTGTAACTCTGATGATTAGAGTCTTCTTCTAATATTATTTTGTATATTAGCTGTCTTGTTGTTCATCATCTATACACACACACACACACATATATATATATATATATATATAATTTCTTTATCTTTTTCAATTGCAAATTTTGTTGTCTTTAGTTTAAATGAGATAATATCTTTGTTATATAATTAATAATCCAAATGTATGTTCTGCCTCTTAATTTATAAAAATAAATAAATGTTTAGCCAATAATATATATTGGATGAGGGTAAAATTAACAATATATCTATGTAATCTAAAATAATTGAAATTTTATATATACATATATATTTATTTGTTTAAAAAAATAATTATATATAAAAAAAAAAAAGATGATTGAAAATTCAGGGATGACAGATATTGTCAGGCAGAAAGAAGTTTATATTTAAAAAAAGTAATAAATATGCAATAAATTCAAAAAGCCGTCATAAAAATAAAATAAATAAATTGAAAATTGAATTTTTGTTTGAAAGTGAAATAAGTAAATGGAGGGTCCCAATAGGCCGCCCTTATTTTTGTGGCCTCCAATCTCTTTGGACTCCCTTTGTAATCTTCTATTTCTCTCTTCTTCTTTTTTTTTTTTCTAATTTTTATATTTTCCATATTAAAAACAACTAAAATATGGTTTACCCATTTTTTTTTTAAAATAAGTATATTAATTAAAAATACCATAATATATCTATATAATATAAAATAATTGACTTATGTAAATTTTTAAAAAATAAAAATAAAAATTAGTGGATATTATTAATATTTTACTAAAAGAGTACACCTGTATATAAAGTAATTACAAATCAATCAAATAGTCTAAAACGATTTTTAAAATCGTGGACCTCTCTAATGTCATAATCCAAAATTATATAATTAAAAATATAGATCTAAGTATTTTTAATACTAGCAAAATGTAGATGATATTTATTTTTTTAATTACAATTTATGCCTAGCTAAAATGTTTGGCTTCACATAATTTGATCAAATACTAAAATATATATTTCACGAATGTTATCACTAATAAAAATATAATATGTATTATTTTGATAAAGATTTTATTATAATATTTACTTGGTTGAATAGTGATTGTATTATAGATGTGATCATTGAAAAAGTTTTAGTTTAAAATCATAATTAGGATTATAGACTTTATTTGGTTACTAATTTTATTTGTTATACAAATTCAATAAATAGAGTTATGATTACCATTTATAAATTTATAGTTTTTTTAAAAAAAATATTGAGTACTAACCAATTTTTAATTTGATGATTTGTGCATCTCTAATTCGACAAGATATTTTAGGATATAAATTAAATTATATTTTGTTATTATTTAAATGTTATTTATATTATATTATGATGATGGATAATATCACCCAATTGATAAATATTTACATTATCTATTTTTTAAAAATATATATATTATTAATCCAAT